TTTAGCGTGTGTGTGTGTGTGTGTGTGTGTGTGTGTGTGTGTGTGTGTGTGTGTGTGTGTGTGTGTGTGTGTGTGTGTGTGTGCGTGTGTGTGTGTGTGTGTGTGTGTGTGTGTGTGTGTGTGTGTGTGTGTGTGTGTGTGTGTGTGTTGTGTGTGTGTGTGTGTGTGTGTGTGTGTGTGTGTGTATGTGTGTGCGTGCGTGTGTGTGTGTACTTAACATAGCGTATTGGGCATAAAACTAGATCTCTATCGGTCTCTTTACGGCTTTGGAGAAACGGTATTCCAACCCTATGGCATTAAGAAACCATATATATATATTTTTTTAAAGATAATAAAAACAGACGAATATGAATGCACGAGATATATATTTCATTCGATTTAAATCTTATACATCTAAGTTATAGATTAATCCCTTTCTACTAGGAAAATATATTAAGAAATATATATATTTCTAAACAATAACAGTAAACGACTATGCATATACGACACAGAATCATTCGATCCATTTTTTTTTATATTAAAGTTGTACATGACTTCTTTTTTTAAACTATTAACATTGCACAAGATAGAAATCTATTTCAAAGTCGAATTGAATTCTAAAACAAAAAACCTAACCAACCTTACATTGAATACACAAAAGAAAACAACCAGAAAAAAATAGATCTATTTCTCTGCCTTTTCCTTAATTCTCAATATACATCCATTCTTACATACGGTTTCAAGACGAACTAAACCAACGGATAAAAAACAGATAATGATACTGCAAAAGAACAATACTTACCCCTCGAGTCGAAAACTACGAGAAATACCCCGATATAGTGTAGTTTGAGTTGAGGAATACCCGGATGTGGCGGTTTGAGTTGAGGAATACCCGGATGTGGCGGTTTGAGTTGAGGAATACCCGGATGTGGCGGTTTGAGTAGAGGAATACCCGGATGTGGCGGTTTGAATTGAGGAATACCCGGATGTGGCGGTTTAAGTTGAAAAATACCCCGATATAGTGTGGTTTGATTTGAGGAATACCCGGATGTGGCGGTTTGAGTAGAGGAATACCCGGATGTGGCGGTTTGAGTAGAGGAATACCCGGATGTGGCGGTTTGAGTTGAAAAAATACCCGGATGTAGGGTGAATTTTGAGTTGAGGAATACCCGGATGTGGCGGTTTGAGTTGAAAAATACCCGGATGTATTGTAGTTTGAATTGAGGAATACCCGGATGTGGCGGTTTGAGTTGAGGAATACCCGGATGTGGCGGTTTGAGTTGAAAAATACCCGGATGTATTGTAGTTTGAATTGAGGAATACCCGGATGTGGCGGTTTGAGTTGAGGAATACCCGGATGTGGCGGTTTGAGTTGAAAAATACCCCGATATAGTGTAGTTTGAGTTGAAGAATACCCGGATGTAAAGGTCTGAGTTGAGGAATCCCCGGATGTAGTGTGATTTGAATTGAGGAATACCCGGATGTGGCGGTTTAAGTTGAAAAATACCCGGATGTTGCGGTTGGAGTTGAAAAATACCCCGATATAGTGTAGTTTGAGTTGAGGAATACCCGGATGTGGCGGTTTGAGTAGAGGAATACCCGGATGTGGCGGTTTGAGTTGAAAAATACCCCGATATAGTAAGATTTGAGTTGAAAAATACCCCGATATAGTAAGATTTGAGTTGAAAAATACCCCGATATAGTGTAGTTTGAGTTGAGGAATACCCGGATGTGGCGGTTTGAGTTGAAAAATACCCCGATATAGTAAGATTTGAGTTGAAAAATACCCCGATATAGTAAGATTTGAGTTGAAAAATACCCCGATATAGTAAGATTTGAGTTGAAAAATACCCCGATATAGTAAGATTTGAGTTGAAAAATACCCCGATATAGTAAGATTTGAGTTGAAAAATACCCCGATATAGTGTAGTTTGAGTTGAGGAATACCCGGATGTGGCGGTTTGAGTTGAAAAATACCCCGATATAGTAAGATTTGAGTTGAAAAATACCCCGATATAGTGTAGTTTGAGTTGAGGAATACCCGGATGTGGCGGTTTGAGTTGAAAAATACCCCGATATAGTAAGATTTGAGTTGAAAAATACCCCGATATAGTAAGATTTGAGTTGAAAAATACCCGGATGTTGCGGTTGGAGTTGAAAAATACCCCGATATAGTGTAGTTTGAGTTGAGAAATACCCGGATGTGGCGGTTTGAGTTGAAAAAATACCCGGATGTTGCGGTTGGAGTTGAAAAATACCCGGATGTTGCGGTTGGAGTTGAAAAATACCCGGATGTTGCGGTTGGAGTTGAAAAATACCCCGATATAGTAAGATTTGAGTTGAAAAATACCCGGATGTTGCGGTTGGAGTTGAAAAATACCCGGATGTAGTGGTTTGAGTTGAGAAATACCCCGATATAGTGTAGTTTGAGTTGAGGAATATCCGGATGTAAGGTGATTTGAATTGAGGAATTCCCGGATATAGTGTAGTTTGAGTAGAGGAATACCAGGATGTGGCGGTT